AGTGGGCTGTTAAACCAAAACAAACATAGCTGAGAGATGCTAAACACTTGTTGTGCTGAGGGGAACTAGTGGGTGCTAATTCTCTGTGGGCATCACATTATGCATAGTCATTGGATCCATTGCTAATATAAAATATCAATGGACGCAGCTTTAAATTATTTAGCATTTTTCTTGACCAATGCACCTGTAGTTTTGGGCAAATGCTTTATCACTTTTGGACCCATGACAGTCGTCTTTTTGCTAACTGTTGATTAGAAGCGTTGATAACAGAGGTTTGTTGAAGCTGACAACTCTCTTAGTGTCTCCACCTGTGATTAAGTTACTTTAGAGATCTTCATTTTACAAGAAGTGTTGTACTCACTGGAAAACTGGACACTAAAACAATAGGCTACCAGTTTCTGAATTACTTGGATGGCTTAAAGCTGTTAAAAGGATTTAGTGCAGTTCTACATGCGCCCTTTTGTTTTCACCTCCTGAAGCAATGCAATAGAAATCATATTTGATTTTATAAACCTATTACATGAATAAAAAAGCATTGTGCTAATATATAATTATGCACACTCTGTATTGATGTTCGTCTTGCACTGGACTTTCATAAACATCTATCATCCTATATATCAACATATTAACCTAATTGAGGTTCACCTTTAGTGTTAAATTAAAGGATAAAGTTAAATAACACCCAAAAGAAGGTAGTTTTCAATTTTGTCTTTTTGACTACAATATTTTCACCAGTTTTGTTTGTCAAATTACAAAATGTCCTCACATCTAGTAACTTATTATTGCCTATAAATCAGGATTATTGGATTGGATTATGTCCAAATGCATTTATGTTTGACCTCACTGGTATGTTAGAATCTAAAAAGCTATATCAGACGGCTCTATTTTGTGCATAACCCTGACAACCACATGGAGGTAGACATGTGTTCAGTAAAGTTGTCAGTGGATTTCCCTTCAGTTGTCGCCCCCATGATGAAGCACATGTGCGTGACTGCTCAGCACCTTTAGAGTAGCCTTGGGCAGTCACCTCTGTTCCTCTGTTTTCCTAAGATGTTCCCAGCATTTATTCAAAGAGAAAGATAAGCCCAGTAAGAGCTGTAAAAGGTGAGCAGCTCTTCCGAAGTCCTAAGCATGCTGCCACTAATTACAGACATAAATCAATAATGGCCTGTTTGCAGATTATGTAACTTCCTGATATGGCTTATTCTCATTTCCCTGTACAAAACTATGCTCTGAATGTGAGAAATGTTGTTGGAATCAGACATGATTGCTGCCCTGCCAGGCTGGAACTTCACAATGTAACTGTAACTTTACTGTCTGAGCAAATCATCACCTGTACACACCTTCCTGAGCTCCTCCCTGACCTCCATGCTCACTCACACGCGATGAGCAATTGAGCTGTCAGTCAAGCAGGAAGGGAAACTGGTGTTGAAAGTGAACTTGCATGCAGTGAGGAGCTTTGGGGGCCCAAGGCATAGGCCACTGTGTGGGCCCGTCTACCCTACACGTTGTTCTGCAAGCAAACTCACTTCACTGCACCTTGGAGGGGATTAGCTAAAAGGTTCGGCATCCAAACAGAAACAAATATGGGTTTATGGGCTATATTTGGGAGTCTTGCACAGAAACAGAGCTCACTGGTAATTGATTTCATGCATAAAGCTGCAATGATATCTAAATACATTAATGTTTGCACTCTAAAAAACATTTATTTCAAATAACATGCAGCCTCATGCAAAGACAATGTGTGTTCCTGGTCCACTACAGTGATAATTGTTCACCTTCAGCTACACAGATGAAAATAGTGGAAAAAAACAAACCAAACAAAGTAGAAAACAGTTTCAAATGGGAATTTATTGAAGATTACATATTACAAAAGTTGTAAAATTATTTTTTAAGGCAAATCTTTAAATTATATTGGTTGGTTTCCCCACTTTTCTCAGACAAAACAGCAATTTCTCCATCGTGTCTTTTAACTAGTAGGCTATGAGAAGACATTATCAGAATTAAATAACCTGCAATAAGAAGTAGAGATTTTGATCTGTTATGGATTAAACTGTGGAGTACATTCTTTTTAGCCATTCAAGCGCAGAGTATGTGGCCCTTTAACAAAACAAAGTTGAACCTTACGGAGTAATAAGTCTGTCTTATGACCATGTGATGTTCAGGATCACTAGTTCAACCACTGACACACACACACACAAGACTGATGAGACAGTGTATGTGGACCAGAGAAGCACAAATAAAGATTTAGATAAAGCAATTTTCCTTCAGTTAATGTATTAGAAGTTAAAGATAATATTAGTTTCAGTAATTCCAGGTTTACAAAAATGCAATGTTTAGGTCATATGAGAGGATTTGAGCGAATCTATCATGCTTTTTAGCCGAGGACCATGTGGAATAAAATCAGGGGGACCTGCTGGGGTTTGGTCTAATTACTGGGACCTGCCAGTAAAGGAGGCTAGGGCCAGTTGTTATTCACTAGCTTGCCTCCACCCTCATAGATCCATTCACTAGCAAAATAAAGCAAGATCACACTCTGTCATCTTGTGAGAAGTTCACGAAGAGGACGACAATCAGGAGGGTCGTGACTCAGTAAGTGTATGCTGTACAGTCACTTTATTTGTAATCTTATTAAAACAGGGTAGAATGTCATTTATACTTCTGTTATTTATCCTTTATGATAACATGGTTTTATGTAGACTTTAATCAAACGTATTATTAATAATCTGCTGCTACCAATGTTGTTTTTAAGGCCAATAATGCAGCTGTTTATAGATACAATAATGATTAGGCTATTAGACCACAGTAATGATAATTAGACTAAAGGATAGTCTGACATTTTAATATTTCTTCATAATTGTGCTACCAAATGACTCCTACGGTAAAACGAAATATTTCGAAATATTGTCACACCATGGAAAAACTCAAGTTCCTATAGAGTATGATGATATTATAGAAAATCAAATATTATAGTAAGTACAATAAGGTCAGCATGTTGAATAATTTATGATACTACAATATTTAGAGGTTTCTTTTTTTTGTTTGTTTTATTTATTTGTTTAATTATTATTAGGTTATCATTATTTATTTACCAAAACATAAAATCAATGGGATTAATGTGGCAGTAACTTCATAATTGTACTGCCAAATGACAGCACACCTATAGTAAAAAAAAAAAAAAAAAGAAAAAACTAAATTTCCTATAGAGAATGATGATAGACCAAAACGGAAAATCAGTGGCATTAATGTGGCGGTAACTTCTGTTCAAACTAAAAGATGCTGGAGCTGCAGCTCCGAGGAGCACCTGAGGGTCAGAGGACATCACCGGTTTATTTGAGCCGCTGTCCGCGGTGCTGAAGCAGGATGCCCGAATCACATCAAAACCAGACCAGACCAGACCTGAGCAGGAAGGCCCGAACAGACCAGACAGATAAAAATCATCTGCGGACGGAACAAAAAAAAAACAAACAAAACAAAAACAAAAACAAACAAAAACAACAACAAAAAAACGGTCAGAAAAGCAAATAAATATAAATGAGTGTTATCTAAAATGATGAGACAGGTCTGAACCCCCGACTCTGGCGTTGGAGGTTGGCTACCACAGCCGGAGTGAACAGACAATACAGGCTGATAGCAATCATGAGTTTTCAGCCTCCAGCATATAAACCATGTAAACTGATCACTATCTCTCTGCCCTCGTTAAGCTTTAGTTACAGTTAAAGGCTACATATATTAACAGGTAAGTGAGATATAGCCAACAGGGTGTAGTGTCCTGCGGGACAGATCTGAGGTTCAGCATGTTTGTTAATTGGGGGAAATTAATGAGTTGAACACGGGGTTCGCCTCCTCCTGGTGGCTTGGTGAGAAAGGACACCCTTAATTCTAATTTCATCGAAACAACTTTAAAAGGCAGGAAACACTTCACGCAAAAATGGCAATGTGAGTGAAACTGTGTTATCAGGCTCATCCTTCTTTTCAATCCCGTAGATCAAAAGCTGCTGTGAGTGTAGAATGTCTGTCATCCTGTAATTTGTAACAACACAACCCATGCAGGCCCATTGACTCAGTAACTCTCCTCTATACAACGTGATCACAGTTCGAGTAAAAAAAACATTCAGACACACGGGCCGAATCCCTGAAGCCATAAAATTTGCATTTAATAGAAGTTTATTTTAAAAGTGTCATTATGTTTTGGCTAAATGTGCCTATAACATTGTGTAAAAATTGAAAAAAATGCGTCGTCACATCTATGATAAAGCAGCTGTTATCAATGAATGTTTACATCGGATTTGAGCTGTATAATTTAGTTTTAAAAGGTTGAACTCCATTGATTTGTGTCGAGGATTACTTCCCCTCAGGCAGACCCGCGTTGTTACAAGCACACCTAGTTTTCTAATATTGCTGAGGAAGCTGTAAAAAATGACAAAATCTTCATGTAGCTAGATATGGAGTAAGACTGATTTATATAAATTAATAATTATTATTATTTACATTTACATTTAGATTTAATAATTATTGTTATTATTATAACCTACAAGATCGTTTTAACATAATTTTTATCAGCATTTGTTACAAGGTTCCTTAGAATAGGCCAATATAACACAATATTATTAATAATAATAATAATAATAATAATAATAATAATAATAATAATAATAATAATAATAATAGGAGGTTTATACTTAATATTAAAGCGTTTATTGTCATCATAAAACACCAGTAATTTAAGATGGTCAAATCTATAACAGCGCGTGCACAGTCCTGTATTAGTCTTAGTATTATTAGTATTACAAAGAATATCCAAACACCTCAGATAGGCTTTATCTTTCTCAACTTTCACAATTAGCCTTGAGTTTAAAGCTTGCCTGTAGGCAAGTACACTCAAGGAGAGAGAGAGAGAGAGAGAGAGAGAGAGAGAGAGAGGTGGGTGGTGGAGGAGGTGATGGTGGGAGGGTGGGGTGACACCCTTTGCAACAAACCTGCCCACTGTAACGAAAGCTATACACAGGCGCTGACGGGCCGTGATGCTGCACTGTTTGGGGATAAATGGCTTCACTTGGTGCTGAGGGGCTTCAAAGCATGGGCAGGCTGCGGACAGGGAGCAGGGAGCACACACACGGAGACACGCACTGCTTTCGCACATTGTGTGTGGATGCACAAGAGGCTGCACACTTTTTGAATGACTGTTCATGTGAGGCTGGTGTTCTGGATGGTGGATCTGATGTGTCGGGAAGCGTTGTAATGACCTAATACTGTTGAGGGTTAAAATGTAGTCTGTCCATTCAGTTGATGGGTAAATACATTTGAAGTGGGACTTGAAGTTATTAGTTATATTTTTTGGGATAAATCATAAAGGCTGGTATTTTTCAGTGAACATAAGGACATAAGCAGGTATTTAATCACCTCATGATTCAACACTATTTATTTTTTACATTTAATTTCACATGCCAACGCCCTGTGCTGTACCATTTTAACCCTTAAAAAAGCCGTTAATATTGATATTATTATCACATTCCCATTGCAGGAATCACATCATGGATGTTACGTTGGATGTGATTAACCCAGCGATTTCAAGAGCTCTGTTGCTGGCATGTGTGACTCTGTTGTTCTCCCTCCACCTGCGGCGGTGGCTCAGGCAGCGGTCTGACCGCTGCCCGCCCGGTCCGCTCGCCTGGCCGGTCATCGGGAACGCTGCGCAAATGGGCAAGGCGCCGCACCTGTATTTTACGCGCTTGGCGAAGAAATACGGCAACGTCTTCCAGATTAAGCTCGGCTCTCGGGCCGTGGTGGTGCTGAACGGTGACTCCATCAAACAGGCGCTGGTCAAACAGGGACTCGAATTTGCCGGCAGACCGGACTTCACCTCCTTCCAGTACGTCTCCAGCGGGGACAGCCTCGCGTTCAACACCATCACGGATTGGTGGAAACTGCACCGCAAAGTGGCCCACTCCACTGTGCGGATGTTTTCCACCGGGAATCCACAAACCAAAAAGACATTTGAGCACCACATTCTCTGCGAGTTCAAAGAGCTCCTGCAGCTGTTTCTTGGGAAAACCAAGGCGCACGGATATTTCCAGCCCATGACATATCTCGTGGTGTCCACAGCCAACACAATGAGCGCGGTGTGCTTCGGGAAAAGGTACTCCTATGATGACCAGGAGTTTCAGCAGGTGGTGGGCAGGAACGAACAGTTCACCCAAACAGTGGGCGCAGGGAGCATAGTGGACGTGATGCCCTGGCTCCAGTACTTCCCAAACCCAATCAAAACAGTATTTAACAACTTCAAGAAACTCAACATGGAGTTTGGTGTGTTCATTCGAGATAAGGTTATTGAACACAGAAAAACAATCAAGTCAAGCACCATCAGGGACATGACAGATGCTTTTATAGTGGCGCTGGACAAACTAAGAGAACAAAAAGGGGTTTTATCAGAGAAAGACTATGTGCCCCCCACTGTTGGGGACATATTTGGAGCAAGTCAAGACACACTGTCAACTGCACTGCAGTGGATCATCCTCATACTTGTCAAGTAAGCATCGTTTCCTTATCATTTTAAGATTACAACCAATTAGATGCATGCACGGTATAGATTTATCATGAGAAATAATAATGAATCAGAGTTGGCCCTCATCCTGCTGCTAAAGCTGTACAGACCTGAGGAGGTTCACTAGCATTTGTGTTATGTAACAGCCTGATGGGGGAGCTGAGGTACTGGCAGCAATACATAAAGAGCTAAAACTGCACACCAGTGAGAGTGAATGAAGTGCCCAGTCAGCTATTTTTTTTTACCATACAAGTAGCAAGATCTTTGGCAGATTTTACAGAAGTTCATTTTCTAATATTGCTTGATTGTTTAATCCCATCAGGGCCTGCTGCCTTGATATGCCTATTTGTTATTTTACTTATAATAAATGTGCATCATATCCTCAGATGAAATGACACGGTGCACTATCTTTGGTTACAAAAAGCCACTAAATGTCAGCTTTCTACACAGATGGTGGCTCACTTGTTATATTATTAAGAAAAGGGGAAAATAAATGTGTGTAGTAGCCATCTAAAACGTAGGTCTCACCTGTGACTGTAGGTATCCTGAGATGCAGGTGCGTCTCCAGCAGGAGGTGGACAAGGTGGTGGACCGCAGCCGGCTCCCCTCCATCGATGACCAGCCGCAGCTGCCTTACGTCATGGCCTTCATCTACGAGGTGATGCGCTACACAAGTTTCATGCCGCTCACCATCCCCCACTCCGCCACCACAGACACCTCCATCATGGGCTACACCATCCCAAAGAACACAGTCGTTTTCATCAACCAGTGGTCTATAAACCACGACCCGGCCATGTGGTCCCATCCAGAGACCTTTGACCCCCAGCGTTTCCTGGACCAGAGCGGTGCGCTGAACAAGGACATAGCCAGCAGCGTGCTCATCTTCTCCCTGGGCAAGAGGCGGTGCATCGGCGAGGAGCTGTCCAAGATTCAGCTGTTCCTCTTCACGGCCTTAATGGCCCACCAGTGCCTCATCATTTCGGACCCAGCCAGACCCCCCAAACTGGACTACAACTATGGTCTGACTCTGAAGCCTCATGCCTTCTCCATAGCAGTGTCTCTCCGTGATGACATGAGGCTGCTGAATGTGGCCACCAGGCATGCGTTCGCTGCCGAGGTCAAAGGCGAGCCCTCATCAGACTCAAACTCATAAACTAGAAAAGTGCACTCAGTGGAGCGCAGATCTCCTGCAGGCCTGGTGTCACCAAACGTATAAATAACACGCTCAGTGACTCATTTCGCGTGTTGTCACAATGCCTTTTTTGCTTCTTGCGTGTCATTTCAAACCATTTAGTCTCTACTTACTTATATTGTGCAAAGACTATTGTCATTTTACACGTGAATGTCACAGAGAGAAACATGTCAGGTGAGAACGCATGAAGAGCCAGAAAGTCCGCGTAGGGAGAAGGTCGGGACGGAGGGCTCAGACTGGTCTGAACGTAATCGACAGGTGTTCCAGAGGACGGGAACGCCCTCTGTTATGATTGACTCCTGTTGTACCTGAACACTCACTTTTTCTTCTTCTCTACTTTGTCCTTTTTGCCCCAGATGTATATCTGTGCAACAAATAAATTAATTAATTAATTTTCAAACTTCCAAAATTATTCTTTTCACACCCATTTGGGACACATTAAAAACAACCGAGAAGTATCATGGGCTTTCTAATAAAAATGAAATAGAAAAACCCAGGAATGTTTCTTTACAACAATGTTTGATGTACACATAAGACAGAAGTTCATTTAAATTTCTCTCTCACACACACACATACACACACACACACACACACACACACACACACACACAGAGGCCACATCTCACACTACCAGCAGTCCACCTGGGACTAATCTGGTTTAATACAACATTAAATACAGTCTGACATACAACTTAGCCTCTTCCTTTTTCATTCATCAAGGTGGAGGACTGAAGTCAGCTGCACATCGCTGGCCTCAGTGATGGCCTTCCAAGTCTCAACCAGACCTCAGTACAGGCGACATTGCGGTTACAGGAGTTAGAAGCTTAAAGAGCTGCTGTAACACACCCTTGTGATTGTGTGGGAATACCAATGGATTTATTAGTAGAAGCCATCAAGCTTACAGGGACGTCATAGTGTTGTCATGCTTTCTATTAATATTTTTGCTGTCAGATTTTAACAATAAGATTTTTCCCCCCTTAATAAGTGTTCCGAAACTTTGTAATGCAACATCCTCAACTCCTCAAAACATACAACAATATGTACTATTTGAAGAATAAAATAAATAAAGTGGAGTTACAGGATAATGTGCCATCTGAGGTCCTGACAGATGTCATTCTGCATGAACAGGCAAATAAGCTCATGGAGTGCATCAGCACTGTAATAAAATGAAAATCCTCATTACTACTAACATGTTCTTTTAAATATATAGTGTAAATGCTTAGTTACTCAGGAATAAGGTGAATGAAATAGCAAATATTTTTTGGCATTTATTTGAATTAGAATGCTTTTGAAATGCATCTATATTCTGAAACTTACTGTAGCTGTTTGAAAAACAAGGCAAAGAAGCGTAAAGGGTACGCCAAACCGACCTGCATGTTTCTGTCAACTGTTGTCCAATGCACATATGAAAAGTTGAATAATAGCTCAGTGTTATTTAGTCATTTACTTCTCTGTTTTTGTTACAACCTTTTATGTTTCTGTTTGAATGTTGTAGAATGCTGCTTTATGGAAAACCTTTCACTTCATTTTTTCATCTCCATGCTAAAGATGCCAGTAACCAAATTATGTCTTCTTCCTATGGTTTTATTTACAGAAATATTCATGCTGTCAAAACGAGGGTTAAATACTGGGGGTCACTTTTGACATTCTTTATATACTCATTTAATTGCTGTCTCAGCATGGGAGACCTTCTTGGATTTGAGCATTTGTTTGCTTTCGGCTGTATCATTTTTTCAACCTGGCTGTGTCATGACATGTTTACAGTGGTGGAAGATGTATTCAGATCCTTTACTTAATTAAAAGAACTAATACCACACTGTGAAAATACTCCACATAAGGCCTGTATTAAAATCTTACAAAAGTAACAAATTTATTATCAGCTAAATGTACTTCTAGTATAAAAAGAAAAAGTAGTTATTCTGCAGTAAAATGACCCTTGTAAGTGTTACTGTTAGTCCATATATAATCTTTTTGTTGCTTCACTGTGCATGTTGCATTTTACTGATAGATGTTTAAGGTTGAGCTCATTTTAACTACTTTATATACTGTTTATACAGTGCATCATATTCTACTCATCATATGTTTGATGTGTTGCTGTCCTGTGAGAACCACATATCTCTAATAAGTGCATTTTCCAGCTGATCCAAGGCGGGTTTAAATAGTTTATTTATCTTAAGAAGGAAGTAGGAGAATGTTCTCAACCTATAAAGGAAAAAAACTGGGGAAAAAAACTAATTCAAAATCACCAACTCAGGAAATACATGGTTTTCACTAGATAGGAATTATATAAAAAATATAACTAGTAACTAAAGCTGTCAGACAAATTCAGTGTAGTAAAAAGTAAAATATCTTCCGATGAGACTCAAGTAAAGCGCAAGTAGGCTTACCTCGAATTTGTTCAATACTTCAGTAAACTGCATGTTTGAACCCATGATGGAAATTACATCTTTCCGGAGGGTGGTGTGGTTCTCAGCCTCTGAGTCATGTTTTAAAATACTGCATATGTATAATATACAGTGCTGTTGTGTACAGTGCAGGAGAAGAAAATAAAAAACATCAACATTCTGAAAAACTGTTTAAAATTGCTTTTGTCACCAAATAATAACATAAAAACTTAAATTAGATTAAAGTTGACAGATTCTTAACAGCTAGCAATATAGTAAACCTGAAGGGGTTTGAGGCATACCTGACATCTTACCTCATATGCTTCTTTTGTAGACCTAGATTATTTAGATGACTGAAACAAGACATGCTGTAATTACTGCTCACTGCAGCAATGCAGTACTCTGAGTATTTCTTCAGTTTGTTTGCCTTACATAATAAACATGCCCTTGAACGATTGTTTTTTTCATTGATGTAGGTTTTTATTTTTAAAAAGGTTTCAAAATGTAATTGACACATTTACAGTTTCTAAGCAGAGAAAGCTCAGTCCGACATACAGTCAAGAAAAAAATAAAAACTTCTACAATTTCTACATTTAAGTTTGTTTCAACCGTGACTCTGTACTCACAGCTGATTACACAACACAACAAACACACAGTGTACACACAAAAAACAAAAAATTCAACAATCTCTCGGCATCGTGCCAAATCAGGAGATCCCTTTCCCTGCAAAGCGTTTTATCTCGCCCTGCCAGAACATCCTGTACTTGCAGCCATGCGGCCAGCCAACTTTCGGAGTGCGTGACAAATTCAGATAAAACTACAGTGGATGATTACTGATATTCCTCTCTCCGTTCTCCCTTTTTTTTTTTTTTTTTTACAAGTGCAAAATTAAATCTGAAGACTAAATAGTGCCAGTGAAGTCATGTGTGGCAACGCTCCAAGCAGTTGGAAGGAAAACACAGAGTTTGCTTTTGCACCTCTCTTCTGAAATAAAGGAGTCAAACTGAGCTGACAGATCATCAAATACAAACGAGCTGAGAAGTACAGAGACGCTGACAATGTCAAGGTTAATATGCCTGTATCAGTGGGATAATGACCTGAGTTGTAATTGCAGACAATACCCGCCTTCAGGTGTTTTTGCTTCTGTTGTGTTACCCTCCTTGCATTACAGCAAGCTGCAGAGGGGAGCAATATACAGTCCAACCACAGAACTGTGAACTCCTGCAAATCATGGACATGAAACGCAAAGGAAACATGAACACTTGAGGTACACGCTGATTAAAAACTAAGATGACAGGAGAAAAGCCTTGCACGGTAAAGCAGGTGCTTTGTATGAGTTTGGCTGATAACATCATAAGGAAGGCTGTGGTGGAGCAAGCCTGCTGAGAAAGATGAAAACATCACATACATAAGTAGTGGTAAGACATGTCATTACAGCTTAGACCTGTCAAGACTGCATTAACAAGATTAACGCGAATCTCTCTATTTAAGCTTGTATCCTGCATTGGCCGAGGAGCACAAATACACAACAAGATCCTTCTGCTGTTGACTGTAAGTTGTGTAACTTAGAGACATAACTGAGATGCGATTGTGAGTGAGTGGAGGGATGGTTGGAGATCTGAATGAACCTTAGCAAGACTGTGCAAACGTGGCGTTCACAGAGAAGCTCGCTGGACCCCACATCACATAAAAATACATTCTGAATCATTTCCATTTATATTGTGTTAACATGGCCCACATACCCAGATGACTATGTGTTAATGATGTTACCACAAACTAATTACTAATATTATCAAATATGTACATTATGTGTGGGAGCAAGTGGGAGATACTGGTGGGTCAGGCGGCCTTTGACCTTTGAGAGGGTTAAAGGTAGAGTGACGAGACGTCCCCGTCCAGGGGGCGACAGCTGCATCTGGATCAAACAGACATAACGTGCAAACAAATATCACTTTATATCTGTGGTAATAGCAAAGTTATGACTTAAATGTTTCTTTTAACGGAATAATCACAATTGTGGCCAATTAAGTGTTTTGCTGTTTATCGTGTGATCAAGCATGACATTTACGTGATTATAAGCAATAATAGAAGCCTGTTGTTGCCGATGGATCGTGTGTTTGGTAGGGATATGTCTAATATCCTTGTTTATATTTGGTAAACAGACTGTAGCCTGTAATTAACATGACTTCCTGCTGAGTTATATATAAAATAAAAACATGATCTTTTTAGCAATTATCCTTATGACTTGATATTATTTAACTTGTACCAACAATCCAGTCTTTTTTACCTGTTGAAATACCTTTAAGTGGCCAATACAACCCATAACATGCAGTATTTCACTTGCCAGAAAGGGGCTGCAGCTTCTACTTGACTGAAAGGTAGTTTCTGCCTCAAAATGACTTGATTTCATTCAGAAGAGTTATATTTGGCAGATTATAAAACCAAAATGGCCAACATTGCATTTTTTAATGACATACTAACCACCAAACTAAAGGAGGAGTCTAAGAAAACGCCAAGTAAAGTTAGGATGATTCTCACATGCTGGTGAAGGACCGCAGTCCTTTATGGGCATCTACTAATGGACATCACGAGAAAGAACGTTAGAAAGCTGCAGCCTCTACACTCGTATTCAACATGGAGTCCTGGAGTCTTTTAGGCCTGCATGTACAGACATCAAGATTAGAAGCCATCAAATACAGAGACATACTATATGATGCCTGTGAATACAGAAAAGAAAGAAAACAGCCAAAATGTGCTTCACATTGAAGGAAAAAAACACAGCTGCAAATGAATTCTGCTGCTGTCTCAACTGAGACTTTTAAATCATGTGCACAGGAGGCTAATAAAATCAAGGAAATGTTAGGATTTCACGACTATATAAACAAACACCTGTGCTCATTTGGGAGGCACCCATTTAGTGTGGTTTTACAAAGGCAAGAAAATGCTGAAACATGAACAGACTGGTGGGAAGTATGCCTGAATCTGATCCAGTAACAAATTCCCAATTGCCCTGGCACAAAATGTAGTCTGGGGAGAAGGGATGCCTTAAAACTCCACACAATCATTTATAGTCACATAGGAGCCTGCTTGTTACATTTTTGTTTTTTTGGAATATGATCAATGTATTTCATAATAAGTTACGGATGACATTGTTTATTGTGAAAGGGTATTCCTCATAAACAGCAATAAAACTAACGAGCAGGCAAACAAGATGAGGTACAAGCAAGACAAATGACAAACTGACAACTCATTTCAGGATTGCACAGATTTAATTATAGACACCAGTACCATTAATCATTCAGTGCACACTGCCTGTGACACTGTACAGTATAATCTTTATGTAGTGTATCAGACTTGATATAAACTTCAGGAATATTTTACTTGCTTTGGCATTTGAAGAAAATCAAATACATTCGTAGCACTTGTAGAAAAAAACTGTAAAGTGACACAAAAATGATTCTTCTTGTAATGTTCACAATTCACATAGCCATAACAACATTAAATCAATTAATTTGACTCCCATACACTCCTCAAAAACATAACCCAACAGTAAACAAAATTAAAGCTTAATAGTTTCACACAATATAAAAGTCTCAAATGCATCACACTTAACAAGATTTAGCAGAAACATAAACAAGTGTAAAATAATTATGAATGCATAAAACAACAATAACATTTTTTCTATTTTAACATTTCTTCAGTTTAATCAGATCAAATTTTAGTTTTACTATCTAACCTGAAGTGCAAACGTATGGACCATCACATCATGTCAAAGCAATGGGTCTGCATCCTCTGCTTTAGTCATTATAGTTCACCAGAGAGCCATCGGTCCAACCTTTCTGTTAACAGAGAGAAACACAAACACTTGCTCTACACTTGCTCCATTTACATGGAAGCCAGTAACCTGATGATGATGATGATCTGTTGTCACTATATGTTTAAAAAATTGGGGGTATTTTTTACATTAATTGAAACCTGAGCAAAACTTTAAATGAACGTTAACCAGGATAATTAAGCATTGTTTATATATGTAATATATGTATGGAGCCTTCTATAAACAGTAAAACATTTATTTAACTTTGGATACCAAGTCCGAGTGGTGTGCTTAGGATGCTACTCCACTCCACAGATTTCGATTACAAATTTAAAAATAATAAAAGACCAAAAAAAAAGGGTAAGGGAGTTAGAGCCCCATGTAAATGTTCAAAAATTAACTACAAGGATTAGGAACCCATCCTGAAAGGTTCCAATAGGATCTATGTATTAAAAAGGAGGTTTTGCTCAAAAACACCTGTAGGGGTGGGTTATAAATGAAACTTTAAAGAAGCAACCTTGAAATCACTAATGGGTTCTTGCTTAAAGTTTCTAGCGAATGATCTGGAAAAAGATACAAAAGAGCACATTAAACTGAGGACATCTGGTGTATAGTATTAAAAGGCAAATATCCAGGTTCAGTTGTTAACCAACGGTTAATAAATGTTAGTAAACCCACCTAAACTCTCACATATTCTCATAAAGTCTTCAATGGAGTTTGGACAGTCAATCAGATCTCATAAAATACTTAATAAAAGAACATTTCCAATCTGTGTGTCAACTGTAAGATCAAATCATTTAAAGTCTGCGTTTTAATGTTGCCAGGGAACACTCACGGTGAGGGCACGAGGTCATCCTGTGGTCACAGCATTCCAAGATCTTTGTTTGGGTGCGCCATTGTCTGATGTGCTTTTGTTATTGCCCCTTGAATGTGTGGTGGGAGACTCAACAAAAAAACAGGGAGATAACTCCGAATGTCCACTCACTCCGTCTGCTTTGCGTTAGGCTGCGCAACTGCTTTGTTTGGTCCTCTGCTACTTCAATCGGAAGCCTCTCAGAAGCATTTCAGTAGAGGAGCGGTCGTTATTGACTTGTTGTTAATTTGTCCTTTCCCTGAAAGTTTTTCCTGCTTGATTTTGCTGTAGGGATGAAACGATTACCGGTTTAACGGTAAACCATGGTAAAATTCCTGACGGTTATCATTACCGTACACATTTTAATTACCATGATAACCTGGTACGGTTAACCGCGCTGTTATGGCAAACTGTCCAGCGTCTCCCAGAAGCAGGCGCGCATGCGCAGAATGCAATGTGGGTTTGTTTGGGTCAACGGAAGACAACGCTGCAGAGATTTTTCAGTCACTGTGAAGTCCGCT